ATGACCAGTTGATTGACAACTATGACAACAAATGAGCCTAACCTGTTCACTTCGAAAGCGTAACACATTTGCTCACATCAGTGACTGAATGTAAAAAAGAAAGTAATTCCTAATGAAATACGAATATATAGTATTGAAATTGTTGGATCTCAAATAGGTATCCGCGACAAGAATAGGTACTTTCAAGTGAGAATTACAATTCGTGGTCCAAGAGATAAACGGTTTGAAATATATTAGACGAGGATTGAAGCGTTCGTCAAATTGCGTAAAATTGATTTGTCAGTTTTTAATTACAGATATATGCTGAATTTGATCGTTGCCTTGAAGAGAGTCTCTCAAATGATCTCAAACCATTTTGCCCAATTCCGAATGAAAGAAACTTGAAACAAAAAGAATTAAATGCAAAACCATTTTCATAATTTGTAGATTCTTTTCAACTCATAAAAGTAGAAAAAACGTTTATTTGAACGTCGCCCAGTGCTCAATTATTCCAATTTCTTTCAAAAAGTAGCTCCCCGTACAAATGCGTGACACAGGCGATTTGACTGATTTCATAATTTGACCCAGGTAATAAGCAAAAACTCTTCCCAGGCGTTTTCCTTCAAGCTGCAATCTGTGACCACTTTTATAATTGCCTGTGAAAAGCCAGTGAACAGTTGCAGTTACAGGATGAAAAACGCTGTTTTTGTTGGGTATGATTTTGTGGGTTTAGCATGTGAATCTTGTGTAAACAACCCAGAACGAAGTCCCGATATCAGCTTGGTGGCCAGTCTGCAGAAGATGGCGACCAATTGATGACGCAAGTGCTCTGTGAGACCGGCTTGATGGCCTGGTTGTTTGTGTAGCGCTCATTCTCACCCTCTCGCGTTCGACCCATACCAGTATGTGTTCGGTCACTGGTACACAGCTACGTCTCTGTGCTACTCACGTAGGTAGCTCCGCACCCATATTGAAATTCATAGATTACAGGTTAGTTGGCGGACAGGGGAGCGGTAATTTCACCAAGGGCTTCGGAATCTGGATTATTATGAAACAAAATACGCAGCAAAGTATGCACCAAAATACGTGCGAGCGACAGTAGCCACCGGCTGTGTTTGTATGAGTTGGCCTACATCTCACCTTATAAAGGGAGCCGAATGGAAAGGTCAAACAGGCCGGGCTAAAAATCAACAAACTACAACTGTCTTGAGAAACGTGTTTTGAATACCACGTTATAAGTGAATTCTTGGAAGTACCATGCAGTCATCTGTCGTAAACTGAATTCTTTCTTTCTAACAATACAAAGATCTTACAGTCTTCAACGTTTGGAGGAGGAGAAGAAACATTCTCTTTAATTAAGCACTTATTTTTTTGTTACAAACACTTTCTTGTTATACATTTAAACTATAAACATTTTTGAAAATAAATATTTTAATAAGGAGGCTAGTAAAAATGAAGATCACTTTTGATGTTTACTTGGCTACAGCATGACCTCTCAGTTTACCACCCGCACTGTTTACGACGCCCATGAAAAAAATGGTCAAACTCAGCTAACATGTGCAGTAAAGGTACCAGCTAGATAGCAGAAAACGTGTTTTATTATTTTATAGGAAAAAATGGAGGAAATAGAGGAATGTCGATGAGCAGACTGAGTCATGCGAGGTGCTTGAAAGTAACGTTCTTTTGTCTCAGCATTCCCAAACGGTTAGCCGATAATTGTAAGGATAGTCCTTGCAAACGAGCAGAATGCATCAAATTCTTCTGTACTGTTCCGTCAGTGATAAAAAATTCAGTGAACAGTGTGTTCTGCCTCCACTCACTTACTACTGTCTCATGGTTTTAACTCGTTTGTTATACAGTGGTCTCAAAATGATCAAATCTACTTCCCAGTTTCCTCTGACTATTCTGATAAGCCAATTCTTAGAAAGAATATGTTGATGTTTGCGAACAAACTTTTGTCGGATACCTACCACCCTCAATCCATCCATATGGCTGCAAGCACATCGGATTCAATCACCTGTTCCAATCACTGACGTATTCTCTCTACATACACAAATAAACCCCGAAAAGTGTTTTTTGCCCGGATTATAACTGATAAACTTGAAATTCACAAGGAAATACACATTTGATTCATTTATTTTTCTTCTACAGTCCATATTCGTTTCGAACTGTATGATGTAATCATTAGTTAGTTCGCGTTTTGCACAATATTCGTTTTGTCCGCTTCTGTTTTGTCTTCGTTGGATTCATTTTGGCTGAACACTGGTGTATGAGTTGCGAAAGCTTTTATACAAATAATAATGAAAACCTTTTTCGGTAGTTATTTTTTAGGTTTATCAGGCAAAGTTTTATGAAATCATAACATATATAATATTGTAACATACAATATTATGTTCGACAAGTGAATATATCTGTTTCTTTTCAGCTGCTACTTAATAAAGAAGCTAAACGATGTAATTTGATTGTTTACACAAATCACAAACGTAAGTTACACTAAAAAGTAGACAACATGTGTGGAGGAGCAGTTTTGGATTAATAGTTTGTCTGGACTGGTTTGTATGCAGTGGTTCAATTGATCTGATACACACGCAAATTGTATCATCGATTGCATCACATCATGTGCAACCGCAATGGTGCGAACAAAATTGGGCAAATAGGTGCACTTAGTGATGGAAATTGTTCACACACCCCAAATGTGAGAATAACAGGAAAAGAGCGGCTCGAATGTGGCTCATCTGGCGAGCACGAAAATCAATAACGTCTCCCGAAATCCAACGTTGGACGAACTCAATCGAGGATGTTTATTTCATTGTTCTATTCATACCAAGAATACAGTTTAACTGAAGGGTATGAATATACCAACTAAGTTTTTGTCGAACATATAGTAAAACCGTTTAATTACAATAATTGAAATCTACTTGTGGATCATAAAGTGATATGTATTCTGTTTCGTAGATCAAACTAGTTACCGTTCAGGAATGCTCGGGATAGTGACATAAAAACCTGTTAAGACTGACTAATCAGATGTGAATGATTTGTGAACAGATACACACCAGATTGTTATGATCAGCTTGTTGTCCCTTATCGCATTCGGTGACAGGAAACTGACAGCGGTCAAACCAGTTTGAAGCGGCGCTGGCATAGAAGGTAAATGATTCAATCCAGGTAATCTAACCGATGAAGATAGTCGAGCCCACCTGTATATTACAATCATTATTGTTTAATTTTCAATCGACAAATTATTTACCCATAACTTGTTCAGTTGAGTATTATAAATGATGGTCTCGATGTTTACTACTACTAGTAGTAGTGGTATACAACTGACTCGTGCTTGTGTGTGTTCGTTGGTTTTATTTGATCTGAACCGGTAAAATTCATCAGGTTGGGAACCGGATGGTCGTCCAGATCGCAATCTACCCAGGGCCGTGCTGCAACCCGACTCAGCACGGAAGAGGAGGAACAGATCTTACATGTCTTACGAAGGAACGATCAACTAATACAAGGGGAACGGCATCGGATAGAGTAAGTGTTAACCGATTAACGCAGACTGTGATATGACAACCCTCCCTGACGTGTTAACTTTTACAGATTAGAATATGCACTTTTGTACTGTTGAGTAACTTCCCCATATAATGCATTTTTTATTATGATCGTTCCGTAACCGATTGGTTTGAACTGAACTGTCTGCAGATGCAGCAGCTTACAGTGAACGGATACCTTGACACTGTCAACAAGCATATAATATTTCATCGAGGAGGGTGTAGTTTTATAGCGTGCCATCAGTAATTGAAAACTAGAAGTCTACTACAGAACCTACAAGTTGGTATTCACACCCATTCATCCAATACGTCGTACAAACTATACACGCCATTATTAGACTGAACATATTTCAGCAATGCATGATCCCAATAATCGGCAATTTCTGATCTATTAAGTTCGGGAATCGGACACACAGGAATATAGTATGACAGTTGTTCGACTGAATAAAAACAAGCTCAGTTGCTTCATTTATGTTCTAAATATTCAGTCCCATGACCATTCAATAAGTGAGCGATACAAGCTCATTGAAGCCTTCTGTTCTGTATATAGGGATATGCGTTTCTACGTGATGCACTCATTCGGTGGTCAATAGCTGCATCAGCTCAACTGTGCACGTGTTTCACTGACACTAAATTCCCACTAGTATGGTTTCATTTCATAGTTGAACTACTGCAAGCTCTGGCCCCATTTTTGCTTAACCGAGTTCATGGACTGCAAATCATCTGTCCAAGGGCATATGTGAATAACCCCTCTAGGTGATTGAATCGCAATTACTTCACTGAATTTTTGTTTATACAGAGAACATCCAGGAACTTACCGGGGATCAATCAAATAATTGCCATATGAAGAACAGGAAGTAGGAAATTCGGGTCGCATTGTGGGATGTGAAACACAAACTCCAGCCTATTTGCTAATGACAAACGATATTTGGCGACGCAGTATCCAGGGCATTTTATTGAAGCTTTTCACCCAATTTATCATACTCACATCACTATGCAAACGACTGCATTCCCTATTGTATGTTCGGTTGACTCAGTCGTAACCCAAAAGTTCCATTCTCCATCTGCTTGACTATTTCTTTCGGACCTTAGCTCGGTAGTCGGGGGAAGAATAACACTCGAACGGATTAGCCAAAACACAGCTCATCGGTCAGCATACGCATAAGGTCTCAGGTATTTTGACTGGCATCATCTAACCAGCTGCTGCAAAGGTTTACCGATCAGATGATGGGTTGCTGAAAAGAGCCACATTCCGCTATTTTTGTGACAATAGGGCTCTTTAACTACAGTACTAGTACAAATTTAATAAGGTTTCAGTAATCAAGTATACTTGCAATTAGAATATGCATGAATCCGTAAAATATTCAGTTTTTAGGTTGATACGATTTAATAATCTCTAGGATAGAGAACATTTTCCAATCAATAATAATTTTCTTCTGGTGAACAATCTCCACCAGTCTCATGCTCCAACGACTGGAACGCATGAAACAGGACTCCGCGCCACAGAACAGGAATGAATGTGCCTTGTGCAAACAGGAATTCGGTCGCCTGATCAACTTACCTCATATCTGTTCTGATTGTGGCCGTTACGTGTGCTCAGCCTGTTCTGTCGAACTGCCTGTCCGCATGACTCATCAGTCCAAGTTTGTAACGGGGAATCGTACTTGGGTACCGATCACCTCGAGCACCACATCACTCAACCTCACCCCGATACGAGGATTTATGCCAGCAGGCCGGACGCGTCATACATCTGAACACCTGTCAGACACAAGTGGTCGGGGGACGGGAACTGGACCGTTTCGTGTCTATCTACCCAATACGGGTCGTCCGAATTCGGCCAGTTTGATCAGCAGTGGACAGCAATGGATTGAGCAACTTCGATGGCGACATCGAAGCAGACAGGATGGTACTCAGACGGCCGTGTGTAAGATATGCCGTGAAGCGCGCGAGGTGAGTTAGATTTAAATAATGTTTGCGTCCTAAAATATATCGAGTGATTCACAAAGATGAAAACACACTACTGAGTGGAGTTTTCAGCTACGGTTCAGTTGCACCTTTATCCGACGAAACTGCGTCTAATGGCGATGGGTGACCACCACTCATAAGCCCATCCACATACCTGTTTCTTGGTGGGGAAAGGCGGCCGCATTGCGCTGACTTTTCGCTGCTCGTGAAAAACAAGTCACCATTGTCAGTCATTGCAGGACAGACTCAACGGAAAGCGACAAGGCGCATTTACCCTGGATGAAGGTTACGGGTCTAAGTTTTCAGAAAAAATGCGCAGAATTCTACCGTTTTAGTCCTGAAAGAGGGCAAATCAAATCGGTTCGACTGCGAAAAGACGCAAAGAGCACTTTCTTCAAATCGGATGGGCCGGATTGTGAGCTATGATTACCTATTGCCATTAGAAATAGTTTCATCGTCTAAAAGTGCAACTAGACTGCAGCTGAAAATTTTTCTCAGCAGTGTGTTTACGTCTTAGTGGATCACTTGGTAGATAAAAATTTCCCCTGGATTTTTTATTTATATTTTATTTGTACCTTAGCTTCGGATAAATTGATTCGTCTTCAAGTCGGTCTGAATACATCAATAGCGCAAATTCAAGAAATGATTATTTTGTTTCCATCTCCATTCGTATTTTCACTTCTGTTTTCTAAACAAGAGCAAAAACTACAATAAATTAGCTTCGCAGAGCTGCAATCATTAGTTTGCTAGTCAATTATGTCGTCAGCCATGTCTGCGAATTTCAATCTATATTTTGATGAGTTTGAATGGGCGCCGGTAATCAAGTGATCAAGGCACTTGAAATACCGACTGCGACTTTTAAGTTCGAATCCCTTCACCATCGTCAACATCCAGCATTTCTGTTTTTCCCCAGGGCAACGTTGGTTCGATCATCATGCCCTTCTTTAAAGTTCACTTTTCATTCGTATACTCAATAAATAAGGGGATGTAGGAACATTAATTAGGTGATTATTACTTCCTAAAACATATTAGTTAATCCTATCCGTATTACCAATGGGTAAAGTATACAATTAGAAATTAGTCGAAAATGTTTAAATGGTAGGTCAAACAGCTGATGAAAGGTTTATTCAGGCAAGACATTGAACGCATACATTAAATAAAATCAATTGGGAGAACTCAAAGTACTGAGTGTCGCCCATCTAATCCGCAAGAGAGGAATGAAAATAAATGTTGGGGTTCGCTAGCAGTTCATTAGCGTTCTTCAAACGCGAACGTGAAACGCGTTGCTTATTACAAACAGACACAATCGTGACAACGTGCGCGGGCACGACTGCTAACTGAAATAGAAGTGTGGATAAAATATGATTAAAGACTGAAACTTTGCGTTAGTTGCTTTCCTACACACTGTACCAACATTTTTGTTGTGATCCAAAAGACTTCATAAAATGATGACAGCTTCTGAATACCAAGGTATTTCATGAGCCTCATCGTCAATGTCAGGCCACTTTGATGACCTCTGACCATGTGATTTTTCTTTATGAACGAACATGGGCTAAGTTAGAAGCTAAGTAAAAAGTAAAGTGCTATGCTTCTATCTTGCGGTATTTGTCTGCCGCCGGTGGTCAAAACAAGCTGATGATAACCTTCAACAATCCACTCGGAATAAAAGATATATAAGTAGGAATAAGGAATGCATCATAAATGTATCGTACAGAGTATATATAAATTGGTAAATTATAAAAGTGAAAGATATGACTGTTACACTGGCTGTCACGTACATCTGCGTGCGGTATGCTTAGTTGGCTCTCGAACCCAGTGCGTTCTTCTTGCCGCACCATTCGCACCATCTGCAGTGATTGAGCGGCTAGTTCCCCCTGGTAGGACGTATGTTTGAATCCCACCACCACCTCCACCCCCTGCCGTAATTTCTTCATTTACACGTAAGCAGTAATTTGGTTGGTTGCTTACTCTTTCCCAAACAATGTTTGTATCAATTGACACATGCAACAACTGAAGTGAAAATAAATCAACTAGTACAACAGAAAAATGAAGCGAAGTCAAGACGCTCATCAGAGAAGTGAAAGTATGGAAGGAACAGTAGAACTGCATACATAAATTCATTGACCAGGTGAATAAGCGAAAGAAGAGAATTTGCATCATGGCCAGAATGATAACACAAATAAGTTCGATCATTTTGTGTTTTGACTAGAAAACATTGTTAAGGACAAAAACGGTTTGGGCCATACGTTGAAATCCTTTATTTCCATCACATGACTAGTTGTGTATAATCATGCAACACGTGCACATCTGTTTCAGTGCACGATTTCAAATTCACGCAACCTCCACAGTTTTCACTCCATCGCGTGGACTGAATGAAAGTACTTAGTATTCCATCATTTAGTTTCGTCGGTTTTGATGGTATCAGACAGCACCGATGAGGTACGTAACACACTATCTGAACTTTGTGCTTGAAAGAACAATATTGATATCCTACGCGTATTGCAGTGGGACATTTTATCGAGCATAATTTTGGCGCATTAGGTGATTTTCAGCTGATGAAGATTTGAAATCAAAATCAGTATCTAACTACCTGATGAAAAATCTGAATTGAATTCAATGCCTAAAAGCAGTCTGTTTCTTGACTGCAGACGTTAATTTCAGTCTGTTAAACTACTTTAATTTTCAAAACTTTCTTTCATATATATCAGAATGTTTTACATTCCGTTGACTGAAGAGATTGAAGGAATGTTAGCATCTAGCAGTAGTTGTTTTCTCTCCGCTATAACGATTTATTGTTTTCGATAAAATCAAGTCTTAATTTATTGGAATTCTACTGGGATCACTTTAAATAACTGTACTGGGAATGAACAATTACTGGAGTACGATTGATCCGCAGATAATCGATCCATGCGATCAGTATTTGCTCCATTTTCGCTACAGAGGTCAAGTGTATCATCAGGTTTAGCACTCTTGAATCACCTGGATTTTTATTAGGGTTCAATAGCCAAATGCTTTCGAAGAAACCAGGACCAACAGTTCCAACTTACACCTCAGGCCACTTTCACATTCCCTTGAGAACTCACAGATTACTGGGGTTCTTTAATTTTTGCGAACAAATTTGGTTTATTCGGAATGGGATTCATGTCATCATTTCTGTTATTCACCTATAATGAAAAAAAAAATTGATAAAAAGGTCATCACTGAGTTGCTACGAGCTTGAGATTAAAAAGGAATTAAATGCTTCATTGCGCTTCTCTGATAGTCTTTATAAATTACTGAGTTGAAAATATGCGTTCCTTTGACGTTTTACGGTGGAATAGTTTCTGGATCTATCTTAGCTAATTTCAAATGTCAAGAATTGAGCATTTCTAGCAATATACACAATCTTTATGGATTTGATCGATGGGCAATAGATAGCATCGCTTAGTTTTCTTCACTTCTCCAATACTTTCTATTCTCACCTTGAAAAATTAGATTTATATCTGCTTATTCCTGATTCTTTCTCATCCAAGCATTGCTTCAAAGAACAATTTGAGTGGTTGTGTTGGTGTTGGCTTTCCATTCCGCTTTAAACGTCCGCTTTTGATGTGTTCACGTCCCACACATGTCACAGACAAGACAGGCAGTGTGAGCGATTCCAAAAGCTTTACAAACAGTCATGGTATTAGGGTTTTCAAAAGCTATTTTGTTAATTTTTTACTAATGCATCCACCATTAATATTCTATTATTGGTACCTAACAGTCCATCGTGGCATTGAAACATAAGATAGCATGTGACAAACTATCGATGCCTAAAATCATCTTCGAATTCGTGGCTTTTATCGGCTCACAACGGAATCCGTAGTGTTTCACCTATTGCGTTCAATGAAATTACGTACAATTTTACCTTCTTTATTTACATCTAAACCAGTTGCCGAAAATACTATTTTAAATATATATATCTACAGAAAGGAATTCATTGTTTAAAAGAGAAAAGCAGGAAGCAGATTGATCCTTTCAACTTCACTTGTAATTAGTCATGATGAGCACACAGCACCCACGTGGTGGTCACATCTAGTGCGGTAAATATGAAAGATAAGCTTAATCAGCAGTCCATTTTTGAGAGTCTAAATGGGTTACGCTCTTTGTTTTATCTGTTAGACTCTGGGTTCGAATCTCATTTGTTGCTGATGGAAACATGCTGAGTTCAACTTCGATTCAAACCGCTTTTGAGTTCAATCTGTCTCTGTTCTCACAGTGTGGTGATCCCGTTGTTTTTCAACGTTAGGTATTTCTCTTCCGGAAACGGTTAGAGCGTAGTATGAATTGCCGAGTGAATCACCCGAGCTGTCTTTGCTATCTACTGGTTAATTTGAGAAGCGTTAAAATTATGCACTATAACAATACACAATTTGAACAAGTTGTGTTGTAGTGCAGTAAAAGATACTGCCCCGTTCATGCAAATTTGATGAAGCTGTCAAATTCAGCTTTGGTAACACTACGTAACGATTGCAGTCCCTGGCAAAGCAAGCCATGCGCAAGGGTTTGTTATTTACCTTAATAACTTTTCGCTATCCCTAGACTGAGTAAAGGCTTTCATCTAAAATGAGTTCCGCTTCAGCAATACATAGGCCAGCAATGAGACCAAATGTTTTCATGTTAGAAATATATAAACTATCTTGGGATATATTTATTGTCCGTAATTTGTTTATTTCTTTTTGTTACACTATAAATATGACCCGATAACAAGACGGTTGAATGCTTTCTTCTACGTCATTCAATTTGAAAGGCAACATTTTCTTGAGCTCTTTTGTAAACAACGAATATCAAATTAGCAACGCTTATTCTTTGCTGAACAAGCAAAATATTCAAGGATATAATTTGCCCATCGAATGTTTCGCATATCATGCGAAGCAGCGGTGAATTGTAAATCTTGTAAGCAATAAATTGTTGTATTAAGCTGGTTTGACCTTGGACCCAATACAAAGGGGCTATGGGCAGGGTCA